CAAAGTCAGAAGGGTGAGGAGGAAGAGGATGAGGTGGAGGGTGAGACGGGCGAGAAGAGATATGATTAAGTAGGATGAGGAGGAGTGCGAAGAGGGCGAGGAGAGAAAAGAAGAGGGTGTCGCACGATGTTTGGAGGAAGGCCAGCATCGTGCCTCGAGGATCGAGGTCCGAGGTTGTTTGGTCTTCGGGCTTCGGGGGCTCTCGTCGTCGTCGCGGCTGGACGCATCTCGAAGCGACGCTTTTTTCCCCGAGGACCGCAGGACGAGGACGGGGAGGGAGACGAGAAGGCATGAACATCAATAGCAGTTGGAGCAGCCGTTGGGCCGCCTAGAAGCCATATTTTCGGCGTCTCGGGACTCTCTTTGGGCCGTCTTGAGCTCACACCACCGTCCGCACTTAAGATCCTTGGTGTTTGGAACTCGTTACATGATGAAAGACAAGAGCTGGATTACACTCTATGCATTTAGCGTCTCCGGGCCTTCTTGGGTGTCCTCTTGGAGCCTTTCTGGGCCACTTCACGCCCTCTCTGGCCGTCCTGGGACCCATTTGGGGCGTCTTGGGCGGCTTTGGCTGTCTTGGGGCATGCTGGGGCCCTGTTTGAACGTTCTTGGGGCCCTCTTGGACCTCTCTTGACGCCATTGAGACCTTTGGGGCATTCTTCAGGCCGTCTTGGAGCGCCTTTGGGCCATCTTGGGGCTCTCTTGGGCCGTCCTGGGGCCCTCTTTGGGAGCCGCTTAGGCCGTCTTGGGCCGATTTCTAAGTCCTTGTGGGCTGTTTTGGCATGTCGGAAGCATGGGAAAAGCCAGAACACGGAGAACCTTACTCCAGATTTTGTAATAAAGGGAGGGGGGTCTCATTTCGGGGGGGTCTCTTCCAGGCTATCTTGGAGGGCCTGGGGGGGTCTGGGGACGATGTTTTGGAGGGTTCTCCCAGGGGGGGGGGTCTAAAACTTCTCGTCTGGGAGGGTTGAGACCCCCTCCCTTTTATTGCGAAATCTGGAGTAAACAACTGCAAAACAAATAATGTTTCGCTTGCTGATGCCTCATGGGGCTCATTTTGAGGGCCTCTTGGCTGCCTTGAGGCCCTCTAGGGCTGTCTTGAAATCATGTTGTGCCATCTTGAAACGCTCTTGGGCGGTCCTGGAGCGTTTTTGGGCCATCTTGGCACCCTCTTGGACGTCTCTTGGGCCCTCTCGTCGCCCCTCTTCCCCTCATTTGGCGCGTTTTGGCGCTCCCCGACGGGTCAAAAACGGCCGTGTGCAAAATCAGTGTTCCCCAAGGGTCTCTTGGAGGCCTCTTGGGGCCTCTTGGGAGGTTTCCTGTGGCCTCGGGCGTCGGGGGGCCGAAGGCTTGAAATATCCGTTCGGACACCCCCCCTGGGACCCCTCTTGGGGCCGTTTTGGCGCCTTGGTGGGCTGTCTTAGGGGGCCCCTTGGGCTTTCTTAGGACTCTCTTGGCTTGCTGTTTTTTCTCCAGAGCAAGACTGAGAGAAAGCGGTGCACAGCCCGGGCAACGATCGGTGCAGTGACTCGAGCAGCAGACGAAAACATATGGCCTTTTGAATTCAAGAATAAGGTAGGATAAAAAGTTCAAGAGGCGAAGAGGGAGGGGAGGGAGGGCGACTCGCTGGACTGAATATGATCCATAATGTTTACGGATCCACAAAATGCACAAGCCAACCCGATCGACGATCTCCAAGGCTTGCTGTTTTTTCTCCAGAGCAAGACTGAGAGAAAGCGGTGCACAGCCCGGGCAACGATCGGTGCAGTGACTCGAGCAGCAGACGAAAACATATGGCCATAACCACGGCCAATTGCATTAGTGATCTGGTACTACCGCTAGCATTTACAAAGATCCCACAGGCGGGCGAGACGAACGGTGGAAGCGGCGTCCGACAGGGCACGAGCGAGCTCGCGGCAGAGGGCCTTTGGATACGGCTGTGCCACGGACGTCCAAAAGCGCCCTCCGGGCGCCTTTCCCTCAAGGACCTGGTGCCTGCACTGGGTACGCTCACAGACGCCGCGACCGCGGCACCTCCTGCCAAGCGATTGCCCCGAGACGTGCCAGAGACGCAATCTAGTTCGCTTCCGCCACGGCTCGCCCCACATACAGAAATCGGTAAAAACATCATGAACGCCATTGAGCCTGAGAAGGCTCTGCACGGGAGGGCACTCCCACAGACGAGAAAACCCTGGATTTTCCAGGCCTCCAGGGATCCCTCTCTGGTGAGCGAGCCTAGCGAGGACGACAGACACGCGCATTAGCATGTTACCAATTCTGACCTTGGCCTGATCGGGTTCAGACAAGTTAGGGAGGACGAGGGGGAACTCTTTCGAACGCAAAGGCCCGGGGCCTGTCTTAGTGAGGCGCCTGGCTAGTGAAAAAGACGTGCACGGAGTGCCGAGCCACAGGATCAGAACCTCACCGCTCAGAATCCAGCCCTTCAGCGTCTCGACGGCTGCGCTGTTGGTGAGGTCAAACATGGGACCTCGAACGATGTCCCACTCCAAGACGGTGAGGCCGCGGGCTCGAAGCGCGGCG